CTTTGCTGGAGTCAGCTGCTGATAAGTTTCAGCAGTAGCTGACTTGGGGACACCTGGGGCAGAGCAGCTGGGGTGCTGCTGGGTTGGTCCAGTAGTGCCACACCTCGGCGCTGTGGGACCAACCTGGCAATCCCCCAGCTGCTCTACCCCAGGCGTCTGCGAGAAAAGCCTGGTGTGCTGGGGGGGGGGAGGCACTAGCTGCGCCGCCCCCCCCTCCCAGCAGACCAGGGTGATGCGGAGCGGCTTTTCTCGCTGCGGAGGACGCAGGTGGCGGGACCACGGCGCATCTCGGCGGTCCCGCCGCCCGTGTCCTCTGAGGCGAGAAAGCCGCTCCGCGTCTCCCTGGTCTGCTGGGGGGAAGTGCCCCCCACGCCGCCAGAGGCGGTGACAGTGGGGGAGGCACCCCGCACTAGCTGCGTGCCCCCCCCCCCGTTCGTAACTAGGGGTCTGACTTAATTCGGACTGACGTAACTCGGGGTCTGCCTGTATTCTCAAATGATTCATTGTCAAATTATAGCACTACTTTTTTTGTTAATGCAAATTTGTGAAGACCATATTAGAATACTAAAGTGAAAGCAGCTTCTCTAAATGTTTTTAATAATGAATGCAATTTGAGATTGATTCCATTTGAGGTTGACAGTAATTACACCTGGACTCAAAAATAATCTTAGGCAGAGATGTTCATCAGCTCAGGATATATCTGTTATCAGATTAATGGGGAACACTTTTTTATTGTATAGAAATGGGCTCACTGTTCTTTATCCCCTTTTACTTGGATACTATAAGCATATGCTCTTACTTGCTACTGCTCTCAGAATTTACCATCCTTATAATTTTACAAAACCTGACTGACGACCTCTACAACCTGTCATTTCAACTAACTCCAATGCTCAGTGTTAAAGATAGCAGAAAATTACCATGTTTGTAAGCTTAATTTTAGGAGATTGGAGTTTTCATTGCTTTTTAATACCTGATATGAGATTAGAACTTTCACATCCCCAGCTAGATGCAACTAGAGGTTGTCTACTGAAGATGCAGTCGACTTCATCGTAAAACCTCATCTTTTTTCTGGGATTGCCAAGATGATCATTTTCTTTTTGCAGTGCACGGTATTCGTATTTTAAGTTCTTGTACTTTGTGCGACATTGTTTCCAGTCTCTGTCTATGCCAAATTTCATTAACCTTCTGGCAATCTCCTCAAAGATTTCTTTATTTCTTGTTGCTCCTTCAAGCATTTGTTGTATCTTCCCTTCTGACCATATATTTATTAGAGCTCTGACTTCATTATCACTCCAATGTTTTCCTGATCCTGTGTCATGAACTGTAATAACCTTAATGTGATTCTGTGTTTCATCCAAATGAGTTAAACTGTCTGAAAATATGAATGAAACAAATAACTGAGAATTGCAGAACACACACAAATAAAAGATCTCTAGCTACGTACATTTTATTCAGTAATAAGATGAGTGAATTAACATTTGAATTAAGATTTTTGATTATTTTGTCAGAACTTGGACTATAAAAGTGTATATATTGCAATAATATATGGGAATGGTTCAGTCATGTATATACACATTTTTCTTCTGGGGCTCTTCTACATTTCAAAGGAGGAATGCGGAACTCCGCATGCAGCTTGGGGCCAGCGGGAAGTCCCACTGACTCTGGGTGGCACGCAGGTGCCTGCTTTGAAATGCACAAGAGTCCCCAGTGGGGGCTCTTGGGCGTTTCATAGCAGGAGTGCCTTCATGGAGCCCAGGGTCAGCTGGGGAGTCCCCCGCTGACCCCAGGCTCCATGTGGCTCTGCCAATTTGAAATGCCATACAGAACCTGGGGCCAGTGGGGGACTCCCCAGCTGACCCTGGGCTCCACACAAACACCGCGGTGGCATTTCAAAGTGGCAATGCCGCATAGAATCATAGAATAGAATCATAGAATAATAGGACTGGAAGGGACCTCGAGAGGTCATTGAGTCCAGCCCCCCGCCCTCAAGGCAGGATCAAGCTCCGTCTACACCATCCCTGACAGATGTCTATCTAACCTGTTCTTAAATATCTCCAGAGAGGGAGATTCCACCACCTCCCTTGGCAATTTATTCCAATATTTGACCACCCTGACAGTTAGGAATTTTTTCCTAATGTCCAATCTAAACCTCCCCTGCTGCACTTTAAGCCCATTACTCCTTGTCCTGTCCTCAGAAACCAAGAGGAACAAATTTTCTCCTTCCTCCTTGTGACACCCTTTTAGATATTTGAAAACCGCTATCATGTCCCCCCTTAATCTTCTTTTTTCCAAACTAAACAAGCCCAGTTCATGAAGCCTGGCTTCATAGGTCATGTTCTCTAAACCTTTAATCATTCTTGTCGCTCTTCTCTGTACCCTTTCCAATTTCTCCACATCTTTCTTGAAATGTGGCGCCCAGAACTGGACACAGTACTCCAGCTGAGGCCTAACTAGTGCAGAGTAGAGTGGCAGAATGACTTCACGAGTTTTGCTTACAACACACCTGTTGATACAACCTAGAATCATATTTGCTTTTTTTGCAACAGCATCACACTGTTGGCTCATATTCAACTTGTGGTCCACTATGACCCCTAGATCCCTTTCCGCCATGCTCCTTCCTAGACAGTCGCTTCCCATCTTGTATGTATGGAACTGATTGTTCCTTCCTAAGTGGAGCACTTTGCATTTCTCTTTATTAAACCTCATCCTGTTTACCTCTGACCATTTCTCTAACTTGCTAAGGTCATTTTGAATTATGTCCCTATCCTCCAAAGAAGTTGCAACCCCACCCAGTTTGGTATCATCTGCAAACTTAATAAGCGTACTCTCTATCCCAATATCTACATCATTGATGAAGATATTGAACAGTACGGGACCCAAAACAGACCCTTGAGGAACTCCACTTGTTATCCCTTTCCAGCAGGATTTAGAACCATTAACAACAACTCTCTGACTACGGTTATCCAGCCAATTATGCACCCACCTTATCGTGGCCCTATCTAAGTTATATTTGCCTAGTTTATCAATAAGAATATCATGCGAGACCGTATCAAATGCCTTACTAAAGTCTAGGTATATGACATCCACCGCTTCTCCCTTATCCACAAGGCTCGTTATCTTATCAAAGAAAGCTATCAGATTAGTTTGGCATGACTTGTTCTTCACAAACCCATGCTGGCTATTCCCTATCACTTTATTACCTTCCAAGTGTTGGAACCTGGGATCAACTCTGTGATGCTGCTGCTTCGGCTGCCGCTTTGAAGTATCCCCTTTTGCTCCCTCTATCTGATGGGGGGGGGGGGGGGGAGAGGAGAATTGACTAATCCTTAATATCCTTACATGGGACTAGTCCTTTCAGCTTCAATGGGACTGTTCCCAGACCTGTAGTTAGGCACACTCTTATGTAATTAGTTGGAATGTGCACTTTATTCAGTGTTTTTGTGGTAGCAGCTCTCTCTGGTGCTCATACAGAAAGTACCTATATGCACTATTGTCTCAGCTCTTGCTGGTAGAATATCACTTAATGTGTGTACAGTGCTCTTGCCTCGCTGAGTAGAGCTGGTATAGGGATGCTCCTCAGTAAACCAAGGTACTGGATGCCATTTCCAGGGATTCACACCTGACAGCTACCCCCAGGATCCAGCTAAGAGAGTCTGAGTATATTACTAGGGAATATGAAGTTGGTACTGTCGGTATTGTGGTCCCCGTCATGACTATAGATGCATCACAACTCGAGTGAAAAACATTTTTTTGTCCCGAGTGTAGATTAGATTATTTCACTTGAATTAACTTGTGATAGCATTGATAGAACAATATTGCTGATCTGACTGAAACCTTAAAATGGGAGCAATGGTTTATAAAAAGAACACATTTTAGCTCTGTACAATCAAGGCAAGTGAATTAGTAGCTAAACTTTTACAATGTCTCTTGCTGACAATTAGTTCAATTTTATCCACAGCTGAATTGAAGTAGGTAATAAACAATGGTAGCTGGAATCCACAGTAGTGATCAGGTTGCCTTTGGCAGTAGTGATTGAAATTACACCTTTTTAAAAACTGAGATATGTATAACTAGACACTTACCTGTCTCAGTTATCTGTTTCACTACTGATGGGCCAGATGTATCCTCTGAAGTAGTGCTTACAGAATCATCATCTATCAAAAATACAGTTTTATGTTAAATCTATTTAGGTATATG